TCCTTCTGTTTGTCTGTCTGTCTTTCTTCCTTCCTTCCTTCCTTTCTTACTTCCTTTCTTACTTCCTTCCTTTCTTCCTTCCTTCTGTTTGTCTGTCTGTCTGTTTTTCTTTCGTTCCTTCTTCCTTCCTTCCTCTCTTCCTTCCTCTCTTCCTTCCTTCCTATTTTTCCCCAGTAAAGTACTACAAGACTGTCCAAGTGTCTTTTCAGGATCCATCAATCTGCATCTGCTAGAGTCTCTATGAAAACTGTCATAACTTACTTAATAATTCATCTCATATCCATATTAGTTTTCCTGTAAGAACGAGTTCAGTCTATGATGGAGGAATGTTTAAGGTTTAAAAATGAGGTCTGAAAACTCGTTTTCGAATGCTTATTTAAATATGCACTGGCAAAATCAAATGCGTTTCAAAGATTTTTCTGGCATTTATATGACAAAAAGCTATTAGAAAACGAAGAAACTTTAACGAGAAAATAACAAAGAAACTTAATATTTGTCAGTTTTTTGTCATTAAATATTAAAAACATGCACACACCTTTCTACTTATTCTTTCTCTGTGTTATTCTGTATCAAGTTTTCAATATTCCTCTTCTTTGTTTTGAAAGCCATCTCTTTCAAGCGTCTATTATTTATCATTTCAAAGCATAGTTACCATGGTTATATGTAAGCCTAAGACTTGATTAGCTCTGACATGAGAAACCATTAAAGGATCTTATTAAAAAACACCAACTCTGTGCAACCAAATACGTACATCATTAGCTATTTATGAGAATAGTTCAGCATGTGTCTTGAATTTGAGAGACAATATATGTAGAATCGATTCTGTCGAGATAAGAATGAGTGTAAGATTGTTAATCAGACAAGGACAGTGGTGTGATAGTAGAGGAATGCTTGACAATGTTAGGGATTTGTATTGACGTTCATCGCAAGTATTTGAATAGTTTCAAGAATTCTTGATGTCAGTCAATTTAAAAGGACTTTAGATTTTACCTTTAAATTTCCTACGCGATGTGAGACTTTGAGCTACGATTTCTCGGTGACGATGTTCCTTGAATTCTAACACATCTCATCCAACAGCGTCTTGTGATTTCAGTTCTTTTTCACTTTGTTTTTCTCCTCGTTTCGTTATTTTATATTTTTCTGCTGGGACTAGAGAGCAAGAAGCATTGAGTGGAAGCTAAGGAATTCCTAAAAACCATTCACAAATCAAGAATTCTTTGCTAAACTATTCCAAAAAAATACACACTGTTTTCTTGGACAATTTTTTTCGCTTTTTGCATTGGAAACAAGACCAAGTTTCTCGTACTTACGGATTACTCTGGACTCCTTGCAAGGCTCGAACTCTCCGAACCATGGCTAGAAGCGAAAGCATTAGACAAGAGACACCAAATAGACTCAGTTCATTGAGTCCTCCGTGCATCAAGATGGAAGAAGCTGGCCTTGTGTTATTCTTGTGCCGGGGTCGAGATCGTGCGAAGATTGTCTGCAGAAATTCTTCGAAATCTTTGGCGAAATTCAAAGAAAAGGTCAAAGGTTTTTTGTACTAGCATTCTTTGCCTAACCTATTCGTTTGTGTTAGTGCGATAACTATCGGTGTTAGGATTTATTCCATCCAACAGATTTTTAATAAATTGTGTATCTTTAATATTGCATAATTTTATAATGGTTATTGTGGAGGAAGTTTAAGACATGCTTTAGGAATATACGATATAAATATAGTTCTTCCTTTTTCCCCTTTTATTTTTTTGTTTTGTTTTTGTTTTTGTTTT